TAAAATGGAGGGGCTGAAGTTACCGTTTTGCCCTCGATTTTGCGGCGTGTTGTAATTTTCATTTTACCCTTTTTTTTGTTCGAGAAACATTTCTCCTCTGAAAATGTAACAGAAAGCGTCGGTGCTTTGAGTTTGGTCCAGTCCAATTTCCTTTCGTTGGGCCCAGTGGCTTTCGTTTTCGTTTCGTTGAGTTTCATCATCAATGGGCCTAACTGTGATAACAAATAAAGTAATTAATTAACAGCTTCCGTCCGTGATCCATTCATTACTATATGTGGACTGTGGACTTGCGGCGTCCTTTCCTTTGAAAGCTCTTATTGATAATATTAGCTTTAAAAATAAAAAAAAAAATTCTCTTCTGTATTAATGTAACAGAAAGCGTCGGTGCTTTGAGTTTGGTCCAGTCCAATTGCCTTTCGTTGGGCCCAGTGGCTTTCGTTTTCGTTCCGTTGAGTTTCATCATCAATGGGCCTAACCGTGATAACAAATAAAGTAATTAATTAACAACTTCCGTCCGTGATCCATCCATTACCATGTGGACTGTGGACTGTGGACTTGCGGCGTCCCTTCCTTTGAAAGGTCTTAATGATAATAAATATTAGCTTTAAAAAATAAAAAAAACAAATGTGGGCCCAGTGTGGGCCAGATTGAGCTCAGGATAAAATATACTCGGCCGACCAAGGCCTGCCACAGAAATTTTAATTTAGGTTAAAACCTCATTTTGGTCCCTGAACTATTGTATGGACCTCGGATTTGGTCCTTAAACTAAAAAAATCCCTGATTTGATCCCTACTATTTACCATTTTAACCCCGATTTGGTCCTTCCGTTAAATACTTGCTTACGTGTCTTGTTACTTGACAGAGAAAAGAATGACATGTTAAAACATTTTGACACTTAGGATGTACAGCGTGGCAAAAAAATGAAATGGCAAGAAATTACCTTAAAAATTTTCTTTTTTTTTTTTTTCTTTCTTTGTTTTTCTTTTTTCCCTTTCTTCTTCCTCTCCCTTTCCTTTCACCTTCTGCAAACCCTAACATTTCCTAATATTAAATTCGAGAATAACACAACAAATCAACAGATAGAAATCAATAGATCCTTTGATCCAACTGCAGTTGGGTTGGAAACAAAACCCAACGCTTGCTAGGTTTGAAATCGAATCCAGCACCTGCAAGAATATAAGGATAACACAACAGATAACAAATCCATAAATAGATCGAACTCAACAGATCCATCGACCCAACAACTGCTGAGTTTGAAACAAATGGAACTCAACAGATCAATAAACAAATGGAACTCAATAGATCTATGGGTTAGAAATGGAACCCAGTGCCTGCTGGGTTCGAAATCAAACCCAGCACCTTCGAACCCAACACTTGCAGGAACCTAGCTTGAACACAATGCTTGCTGGGTTCGATTTCGAACCTAGCATCGAACCCAGCAGCCACTGGGTTCCTGCAGGTGCTGGGTTCGATTTCGAACCCAACACCTATGCCTTCTTCATCTTCATCCACCTGCAAAAACCCAACGGCTGCCTTGCCTTCCTCATCTTCATCAATCAATTTCTCATATCATCAAACAACAAAACCCAAACAAAAAAAAAAAAAAAACAAAAATTTCTTTTTTTTTTTTTAGAACCCAGGGCTGGGTCTTAAGGAATCCAGCGCCTGGGTTTCATCGAACCCAGGCATGTTGGGCATCGTCCGTCGAACCTAGGCCACGCCTAGGGTTCGAAGGGGAAAGAGAAGGGGAATGGGAAGGGGAAGAGGAAAGAGAAAAGGAAAGAGAAGGAAAAAGAAAAAAAAAATTTTATTTTTATTTTTCATAATATTTTTTTATATTATTATTTTTTCCATGTCATCACTTTTTTTGGTCTTATTGTCTGCCACGGGTATTAATATTTGACATGTCATCCTTTTCCCTGTCAAGTAACAAGACACGTAGGTGGATATTTAACGGAAGGACCAAATCGAAGTTAAAATGGTAAACAGTATGGACCAAATTAGAGATTTTTTTAGTTTAGGGACCAAATCGAGAGTTCGTACAATAGTTTAAAGACCAAAATGGTGTTTTAACCTTTAATTTAAGGTGCAGGAGCTACCGGGCCTGTTTGTGTTCAATCCCATTTTGCTCAGGTCCATAATTTATCAACGTTTAGCATTGTTTTAGTTTTAAAATGATAAAATGTATTTGAGAATTCAGAAATCACGATGTCATGAGGTTAAGAATGTTACGTCATTGACGTCCATCACAATTATTTATCGAATAGGTTTATTGAGTGAACTCTATTTTTAAATTACTCAATAAATAATTATGATAGACGTTATGAACATTATATCATCTTGATTTTTATATTTTTATAATTATTTTTAGTAATAATAAATTGATTATTACCGCATTGTTTTTGCTTTTTTTAAAAAAAAGGTATTTATCACTTTTGCAGTATTTTTCTCCTTTGAAAGCGGAAAAGGAAAATAGGAGATGATAATTGAAGCCACGCAGAGCAGCTGGCGCTGGGGTCTACTTTTAAAGACCCCCACAGAAAAAGTTAACATTGCCAAAATGCCAACCAAGTCCATTTAAAATGGGCCCCAGTCCCCCAGTCCCCCAGTCCCCACTCCACTAAGCACTAACGTTCAAAACCACCGTGCAGTGCACACAGACCGTTTTATCCGCAAAAACGACACAAACCACCTGGGTCTGGCCTACACTGTCGGAATCACAAATAAATACAGGCACACAATATTAAACAATACCACTAACAATCCCTCAACTTTGCAAAATGAGTCATTGACACCCCCTTACGATAAAAGAATTTATAAAAATTCGTCTACTTTAGAAAAAGGGGCAATCATCATCCCTCCGTTACCAGTCATCATAACTCCGTTCATGCTTTCGTTAACATCTTGCAAAATTTAATGCTAAAATAACGTTGTTGGTCCCTCAAATTTAGTTTCATTATAGTTTGATCTTCAAACTTCAATTTTACTCAATTTGGTGTAAATTTTAACTTGTCTGATTAAACTTTTGAAAGAGTTGCACTTGAGTTCCAAATTTTCTAAGGTTGTATTTGGAAATATATATTTGTATTTAAAATGTGTATTTTAAATCCATGTATTTGAAATACATATATTTTAAAATATATTATTTGGATTAAATAAAAAAATGAATTTGAAATATATGTATTTTTAAATATATTATTTAGATATAGTAAAATACTATGCATTTAAAATTAAATTTTTCTTATTAAATTAAATCTT